TCTCCATCTCCCAAGTAGCTGGGATTACAGATGTGAGCCACTGCACCTGGCCAAAGTTTGCCTTTTTATTATGTTGCAGTAAGAGGCATCATAACTAGAAGGAAGGGGATGGATTCTAGATTCATTTCACTAAATGAGCACATTACTTGGAGAAATGTAGTAGACAGGGCAGAGCTTCTTTCTAAAGGGGACCTTCGGCACTGCACTCAGGCGACTGTGCTTACAAGTGAGGAAGGGGCGTAGGGGTGCAGCTGGACAAAAGGAGTAACTTCTTTTCTTGCTGTACTGGGGATGGAACCTTCATGCATGCTAGGCAAGTGCCCTCTCCTGGCTACAGCACCAGCCCTGGGGAATAACTTCCTATGTTCTACAGCACAGTAGGATGACTATGGCTGATAATACATGCATATTTCAAACAGCCAATAGAGAGCATTCTGAATGTCCCCAATACAAAGAAATGGTGATGGAAATGCCAGTTACCTTGATCTAATCACCACACATTGTATACATGCACTAGAATGTCACACTGAACCCAGTAAATATGTGCAATTCTTATATGCTGATTAAAAACACAACTATAAATATGCCAAAAATAAAAATATTGATGCCAAAAAAAGGAAATGACAGAGAGTGATTCAGTGCTCACAAAGTCACACTTGCCACAGACTTGCAATGTTTTCATTCAGAACTGCCTTGCTTTCCCTGTCTTGAAGTCAGTGTTAAAAATAAAAGAAGCCAACAACAGGAACACCTGTGCAGGCTCCCCGGCTGCCCACCGTGAGGCTGGAGATGCTCTCCCCGGTCACTGTGCAAGAGCAGTTCTGAATGGTGCGTGCGCAGCTTGTGGTCCAGGCAGTCTTGGTGGTTCATATTTTGATAGTGAGATATGATCAGTCCTGGGCTACCTGCCCATTGCATACACCTCTGCCCCTTGCTCTGAGCCCTGCTTTTGAAATCCCAACTCTGCCTGACTCCATGCATGCAGCAACAGTCATGACTTCCTCTCCTTTGATCCTTGGATTTAATAAATCATACATCTTGAATGCTACAACTGTATTAATGTCTGGTCATTCAGATGTGATGAGATTAATACTGGGCCATCAATATCTTAACTGCCAGACAGAAAACAATTAAACAGTGGGTAGACGGGAAGAATGTACTGAAAAATCAACAGATTTTGCTTGAAGGGGCTCCCTTCAACTTACAGAAATATTACCATTGTTGTTGAAGGTCAAAGTTGGATACTAGTAGAAAAATCCCTCAGTGGGGGTGGGAGTAGGTGGGAAGAGACTCAATACATAAATTCATGATACATACTTTACACTGAAGGAACTTGGTGAAAATCTGAGTATTACTGACTCTCAGGAACAAAACTGGTTGTCAGTTAACTGAACCATGCACATACTTTCTTAGGTTCATTCTGTGAATAGATTTTTAAAGAATTACCTCATTGCCAAATATATGAAAAAGGGCAAGGAGAGGATTAAAACTTGCATCCATCTGCTAGTCTTTACTACCTACTTTCTTAGAATGAGGTTTGTGCCTTCTTTTTTTTTTTTTAAATGAGGCGATCCAGGAACATACTCTACCTGTTCATGTAATGACTGTAGACTGCCTGCTTGCCTCACTACTGGCCACCTGCAGCATCAGTAACATTATGCTTGTGGCAGATATCAGAAAGGAGATACTAGGTTTCTGATCTGAACATCATGGTGAATGCATTATTCTCAACCTGATGCCCAGTCCTGGCTGAATGTTAAAGATACTCATTCTCCCTGCCCCTTATACCATCAGCAGTGAGGCAAGTACTGGGATGTTGAGGTCTGGTCCACAGCTCAGATGCCCTGCGACAAGGCTGCCCCAGCCGGTCAGCAGCAGGTTTAGGCAGACCCTTCTCTACTAAGGGCAGCCAGCTGTCCTAGGAACTGATTCCATTTGTCATTCCTTAGCTACCTATGAATATGTTTGGTCATAAACCCTGATGGACTGAAGGCTGCTGAGCAAGGAAGTACCATTCAAACTCATTCTGCAGTAAGTGACTTTGCTAGTGGTTATTTTGCTTCAAAGAATAATCTCCCCTAGAGAGATTATTAGGTGTGGGAGAGAATCAATTAAGGGAAGCCAGGTGAGGGGCCAAATCTAGATTGGCGGGGGTGTTCAATCTCTACTTTAGCTGGCTGTGTAGTCTTATCAATTTAGATGTCCTTGATCTTAAAATTCAAACAATAATAACTTTATGTTCATGTTATCTATGAAAACATGGATCGCTAATCAACTTACTGGATAGATAAGCTCAGGGGTTTGAACTCAGGACCTCCTGCTTACTAGGCAGGCACTCTACCACTTGAGAGCTACCCCCTTTTTGTTTTAGTTATTTTTCAGGTAGAGTCTCATGGTATTTTTTGCCAATGGCTGGCCTTGGATGGTGATCCTCCTACTACGGCCTCCAGAGTAGCTGGAATTACAGGAGCATGTGTTTCACCATACCCAGCTTATTTTCTTTTCTCCATCTAGCCTCGAACTGCAATCCTCTCAATCTTGGCCTCCCTAGTAGGTTGGATTACAGATGTGACCCACTACACCCAGCCTTTCATGTGCTTTTATGAAAGAAAAAAAAACTGCTATCTAAATTTTAATCAGTGTTATTAAATCAGGTGTTATGACACCTTCCTTAGGACATTTTTAAAGCTATTGGAATGAATTTGAAAGAACTCACAAAGGATTACTTTAAAGGCACTAATGAAGTCAGTTTGGAGGCAGCAAGTCCAGAAGGTGCCCAGGATCAGACTTAGAGGTCCTTGATCTGTTCTAGATGTGAGAGCCTGAGCCAAGTAGTGCTTTCTGAAGATCCTGGCAACTCCTATGCAGCACCTGCTTTGTTCCAGATACAGAGTATGCATCTGGCTAGCAAAGTGACCTTGGATGGAGCCATTACTGACTTCACACAACAGAGAAGGAGAGACACCTGGAGGTCATGCAGGTCATCTTGACTTGGGTGCAGAGTCCCTAGTGGTGACATGAGATTGTGGACTGTGAGTGTGATGCCACCCAGGCTCTTAGTGCAGCTGTAGATAAGGATGTGCAATGTCTCCATCTCAGCCACACTTAGAGTTTTTCCACCCAAAGCTTTGCTGTCCAGTACTACCACAGGGGACAGCCAAATGTAGTTGTTCATATGAAGTTTAACATTTAAAATCAGCCCCTTGCTTGCAGTAGCTGCACTTCAAGTATAGTCATCTCAGGAGCCCATGAGGATACACAAATCTGCAGATAGCTTAAATCCCTAATATACAAAAAAGCATAGTATTTGTATATGACCTGTGCTTTAAATCACCTCTAGAAGACCTACCACACCTAATACAACGTAAATGCTACATAAATAGTGGATTGTTAAGGGAATAACGTTGGGGGAAAACTGTACATGTTCAGTATACACACAATTTTTTCAATACTTTCTTTTTAAAAAACAATTATTTATTTATTTATTTATTATGTTATCGTTGTACTGGGGATACACTGTGACATTTACAAAAGTTCTTACTATATATCATAGCTGAATTCACGCCTCCATCATTCTCCTTTACCCCCTCTGCCCCCATCAATATTTTCAACTTGTGGATGGTTGAAACTGGATATGGAGCCCAAGATAAGGAGAGCCAACTGATTTCCCTGCTTCTCTTCCTAGGATATAATACAGCTACAGTTTGGGTCTTCAGTGTCCCCCCCAAGGGCCCACGTGTTAATGCCTTAGTTCTCAGCTTGCCACTATTGAAAGGCAGCGGACTTATTAGGAGGTGGGTCACTGAGGGAGGCCTTAGGTCATCAGCACTGTGCCCTTGAAGGGGATTTTAGAACCCCAGCCCCCACTCTTCCTCTCTTTTTTGTTTCCCCACCATGAGATCAACAGCTTCCTCTACCTCACACTCCTGCTATGATATCCTGTGCTTCCAGGGGCCCAAAGCAATGGTGCCAACTGGTAATGGACTGAAACCCCTAAAACTGTAAACTAGAATAAACCTGTCTTTTTATAGGTTGATTATCTGATGCATTTCGTTATATTTGTGTTAATCAGCTTTGTGGTACTATATCACTGGAGACTGCTGAAATAATAAAATGGAGAGAACACATGCCATTCAACCTTACCTGGGTCTTCTCTGCTTCTTAGCACTTCTTCAGTTCATCTCATATCCACTTATCACCTGGTCCATTAAGATGCCTCCTTCCCTAATACCTCAGTTCTCTCACCCCTTATACTTCACAGACAACTAGCCTCATGGGTGGCAGAGAGGATCATAAAAAAAAACCCAAAAACTATTGCTATGAGCTTCTTCCATATTTTCTTAAGCTTTTTCTTTTTCTTTCCTTTAGCCAGAAGGACTTGCCAACTGCTTTCCACCAGAGTGCTCACTTCCTGTTTCTAGATCTTTGTTCATGATGTCTGTTCATTTACAAATCCTACTCCCAATCCCACCTCTGCCATGAAGATGGTTTTGAGCCATCTCATTTGAAAGCAACCTTGTTCTGCTCCAAATTTCCCTAACACTTTATCAGTAACTCTCACAGAAATTACCTAGGATTGCACCTACTCAGGTGTATCCAGGTCCCTCACATCTTCCCCCTAAATACGATGACTGAATTCAGATCAGCTCCCCAGCAGCAGGTAGCCCAGTGCTTTGTACAGAGAGTAGGTAGCACATATTTACTGAATGGTATCTATCCATCTAGTCTTGCAAATGTCAGACTAATTCCCAAGAGAGACAGACTGAATTCAATAATGAGCTGATGAACGTATTTCTTTTAATGATCTCAACATGGAAGTTCACTAAATGGTTCTGTTTCCCAAACTTCTGACAGGAGAATAAGGTTGTACGTGTTGATGGCTAGAACTGCAATGCACTAAATATGTAATATCTTCCTGAAGGTGGGAGGAATAGGAAATAAATGATGGAGAATGGCAAGCAAGCAACCAAAGATAGATGTCAAAGCTGAAAGAAACTTACCTTGGGTAGCAATATAATGGTTGGGTCGATGATAACCCTAGAAATAAATGAGAAAGAATATTTGATAAACTTTAAATCAATAAGTAGCACAGAAGTCACATGCTAGGTCTTGAAAATGAGTCTGCATTTACACACGCATACACATACCCCAACAGCTGCATCACTTTAACACAAAGTTAAATTGCAGGCCCAGGATCATTGGGTCTCTCTTAATAAGCAAAACTGCATCAAATATAACAGCTCTGATGCTCCACGGGTGGAGTGAGTAACTTAATCATATGCTGGCTATGAGATGATGGATGAGCAATAAACACTAACAACTTATGGATCCTCTGAAATAACATGACTACAACTCCTATTAAGGTGCAAACAGGCTGGGAATGTGCAATAAGAGTTTCATTTGTGTTTGGGATGTTATTGGCAGTATGGCAAGGACTTAACAATACTCTGTTATATCAGTATAGACAGTCACATCAATAACAATACTCAGAACCATTCTTAAACACTGCTAATACTATGACACAATGCTGTAGTAAGGGCCAGAAATTTAAAGAAGCATACATTCTGCAAGAACTCTCCTTTTTTTATCATGCCCCTAGAGGAAATAGGGAAGATGAAAACTGGGACTAAAAAAAAGCAGACATACATACTGTAGAGTATGTATCTGGGAAAGATAAAACTAACTCAGAGAAAATTATACCCAATAACACATTATATCAGCATGGACCTTGATACTTTCCATTTCTGCTTCCTGAGATCACCCCAAATATATGCCTAAAGCTAGCTAGAAAACAGAAAGAATCTTGGAGAGAAACACAAGATTCTCAGACAACTTAAATGTGGATCTGTTAGATTATTTTTGCTCTTAAAAATGAGTCAACAGCAATGCACAACAAAAGAAAACACATTCTATTATACCACTGACCTGACCTTGGTCTCAAATAATAGAATCATGACCAATATTAAATAGAATTCTTTACACAATTTCTCATTTTCTGTTAGCTGGTAAGTCCCACAAGGGCAAGAACTTTGACTGATTTGCTCTCTATTTCTCATGCCCAAAAAGGTACCAAGGAGATAGGAGAGACATGTTTGATAAATTGAAGTCACCCATACCACCCAGGAATGTCCTATGTTGCTAAACACCATGGTGATTTCTCAATCCTCACCTATGTAACCTATCGGCTGCATGGGTATCACAGATCCCCTTAAAATACTTCATTTTCTTGGCTCCAGGGTATGATTATCTCCTGCCTTTCTGCCTATCTACCTTCCTAATCAGTTGGTCTCAGGTTCATTGGCTGGTTCTTCCTCTTCCCTTTGTTGTTGAACTTGGAATGCCCAGTTCTTGGGCATCTGCCTCTGTCTACACTCACTGTCTTGGCCATCTGGTCCAGCTCTGTGACCTTCAATACCATCTGTATCTTCATGAATCCTATACTCTTGTTTCCAGCTCAGACCTTTACCTTAAAATTTTGATGCGTGTCAGTTGCCTACCCAATGCTTCCATTGGACATCTAATAAACATTTACAGCTTAACATAAATAAAACTGAACTCCTTGTTTCCTCCCTAAACACTATCCAAATCTGCTCCATCAACAGTCTGATGAGAAAATGGCAATTTCACCTCTTAGCATCATCCTTGACCCCGCTCCCCGTCCTATAGCCAATCTGCCAGCAAACCCCATTGGCTCAGACCTCAGTGTTGATCCAGGATCTCACCATTTCTCCCCTTCCATCTCTACTCTCTGGGCCAAGTGACCTTTTTTATTTTTTTATACAGGGAACAGGATTCTTTATTTAAAACTTTCTCTTCACTCATGTCTTAATGAGCTCCTGCTAATGGCCCGTGCAAATTGAAAAAACCCGAATTGTGCTTTCTACACCTTGTCATTCTTATCAGCCAATTACAAGGAACTGCTCATAGCTGATTGCTGAGGACCCTGGGCTCATTACAGTGAGCAGGTGTCTCACCAATAGCAATGATCGTTCCAGTCTCCTCCAAACAAGAAGGAAAGTGGAAAGTTAAAGATAGTGGAGGGATGACTCTGTCCTGCTAGGAACAGCAGGTAGTCATGTGGCACCCTGTCCTGTGAAACACTCCATCTCCACCCCAAACAGCTCTCCTCCCTTCTTCTTCCTTCTCTTTGCTCTGTTCCAGACACTGTGCCAACTCAAAAGGTGGCATTCCAGCTGGGGGCCTGGCTCAAGTGGTAGAGCACCCACCTAACAAGTGCAAGGTCTGACTTCAAACCTCAGTACTGCCCCCAAAAAATGGCAAAAAATTGGCATTCCTTATCTTTTTTTTTTTTGAATTCCTGTATTACTTTATTTTTCTTTTTATTATTCATATGTGCATACAAGGCTTGGGTCATTTCTCCCCCCTGCCCCAACCCCCTCCCTTACCACCCACTCCACCCCCTCCCTCTCCCTACCCACCCCCTCAATACCCAGCAGAAACTATTTTGTCCTTATTTCTAATTTTGTTGTAGAGAGAGTATAAGCAATAATAGGAAGGAACAAGGGTTTTTGCTGGTTGAGATAAGGATAGCTATACAGGGAGTTGACTCACATTAATTTCCTGTGCGTGTGTGTTACCTTCTAGGTTAATTCTTTTTGATCTCACCTTTTCTCTAGTTCCTGGTCCCCTTTTCCTATTGGCCTCAGTTGCTTTTAAGGTATCTGCTTTAGTTTCTCTGCGTTAAGGGCAACAAATGCTAACTAATTTTTTAGGTGTCTTACTTATCCTCACCCCTCCCTTGTGTGATGCACTCTTTTTGATGAATGAGTTATAAACTATTTGTTCAATAATCATCCCTAGGTCCCTCCCACAAATCTGTAACGAAAAATGTCAAGGTTTTTTTTTGCAGTTGAAATATAGGTTTTGTCATTTTACAGCTTCAACAACTATAAATTTTTTAATTAGCACTAAAATTAACATTTTGTGGTTACTTTTAGAGAACTCTTTCTTAGAGTTGATGATGCTAAGTTGCTTTTAGTAGCACCTGAGTCATACTAAACCAAGAAAATGAAACAATCCATATACAGTTTGAACATCCATTATCTGAAATGCTAGGGACCAGAAGTGTTTTGAATTTTAGATTTCAGAATATATACACAAATATATCTAGTGAGATATCTTGGGGATGGAGTTTAACCCTAAACATGAAATCTATTTATGTTTCATATACACCTTATAAATACAACCTGGAGGTAATTTGACATAATATTTTAAGTAATTTTGTGCATGAAACACAGTTTATCACAGCTGGGAGATTCTTTTTTCTCTGGGGACACCAAATAAACTCTGGGTTGTGTGCTAGTGTTTTGACAGCAACCTGTCATGTGAGGTCATGTGTGGAATGTGTGGAATTTTCCACTTGTGTGGTGTCATGCTGTTGCTCAAAAAGTTTCAGATTTTGGACTTGTGGATTAGAGATGCTTAAAAACCTGTCCCTGAAAATACTGATGGACTAAGAAATGGTGTGCTGGCCAAGCAGAGAATGTGTGCTGAAATCTGTTTCATGTAGAGTTCGGCCTGGGAGGGAGTTACAACTTTCCCTTGATTTTTCAGTCTACTTTTGATTTCATTCATTCTTTCAACTGAAAACATGCTGTCTCCTAAAGAACGTATCCTAATGTAAAACATTAAGTTAACATGATGCAGAATGAACAAAGAAGCAACTTCAATAATTAAAAATCCTACATATTTAATGACACATCCTGCTTGCATTGGAAGTCCTGGAGAACAGCTGCAGCCTACTTTGAAGGCAACTTAAAAGTGCAGCAATGACAAGAGATTGCAAATCACCACATTAGGAATTAGAGAGTTTTGTCCCATTAATATGCAAACAGATTTTTTAAAAAGTGTCAAATAATTACAAGTTGTTGACAAAAAATGGAATTAACATTTTTCTAGTTCACATAATGAGATAGCAAAGAAGGCATAGCATGTTACAGAGACGTTCACCTGCAAATGGAAAGGAATAACCCTATTGTCACTGTAGCTCTGTAAGATGTGGGACAACTTTAGTATGCTTGTTTTGGGAATGAAACCAACATGAGTACACTAATTGTATAGCAGACACACAATATGGACTATGTCAAAACGGGTGGGCATATAGACAGTTTCAAAATACATACATCGATATAATTTCCATTGATATAGTCTGAGTTGGTGTCTCCTTCAATTGTCTGCAGCCTCACCCGGGAATGATCATCTGAAAGGAAAAAGAAAACAACCATCAATGAAAGCCTGTTAAGCTGCTCTGAGCCCCAAAATCCACACACATTACATAGAGAATGTTCCCATAAATGCTGCATTTATGACTGTTACTGCTAGGATCTTTGTCCCCCAAAGGCCTGGTGCTGAAGGCCTGGTCCCAACTTGTGGCATTATTGGGAGGTGGTAGATCCTTCAGGGACTAGTAGAAGGAAGTGATATCACTGGTAGTGAACTCCTGAAGAGGATAATGGAACCCTGGTCCCTCTTCTTCTTTCTCTGAAACTGCACTAAAAAAAACCTTCCCTTTTTTTTTTTTAGGTTTATTTTTCTCAATTATTTTATTACAGTAACAGAAAGCCCACTAACACAAACATAACAAATTAAATACCACACAGCTTTAAATGTCCTATTTTGCTATTAAGACTGGGAAGGATTTATAATTCTTTACCTGTACACTAAATACCATTAACCTGTTCTTTGATCATTGATGTACATAAAGCATTGGTGAATTCTGGAGACTTTTACTTGTAGCCCTATAACTCAAAAAGAGTTATTTCTTGGATTGGAAGTTTCAGCAATTTCACTAAATCACATGTAAGGCCTGAGATGTTGAAAGTTGTCTATGACATTTGCCTTGACAAATGATGGTTACCATACCACAGTCCAATCTTCTGGGACTTTCAAATGGGCTCCTAATGAACCATCCAAGAGTTCTCTAAGCCCCAGCTCTGTACCTGAGGGCTTCTGTAGGTAAAGGTAATGCTGTCACCCATCATCATGTGTCTACATGGGTTGAATAACCCACCCAGATCCATCCTCCTTATCTGGAGAAGGATGGCAGAATCTGCCTAAAATTCAGCTACTTCAAGGATTAGAACATACACTGCCAAGCATAATGTCTGGAATACAGGAAGTAGTGTACAGGGGCTGTACACTACTATTTCCTTAATGGAAAATCTTCACAAATACTATCGAGCATCTCAGTTGCTTCCCTAGAAGTCTTGATTTTTAAAAAACAAAGTTCTAAAAGTTCTTTAAGGCAGAAATTTTCCTCTTGTGATCACTAAATAAGTGCCTGGAACACAGTGTGGCCCCCTCCAAATATTATTTGAGTAAATGAGAAGTGAACATTTTGGTTTTTGAAAAAATACATTCTATTAAAAATTACTGTCCTGGCTCAGTGGTAGAGCACTTACCCAGCATATGTAAAGCCCTGGGCTCCATCTCCATTACTGGGGAAAAATCCTAAATTAATGTTATTTTTAGTGAATAAATCTTTTTTTCATTTCAGCCTGATAAGGCAGTTTACTAAACTTCCCTTCCAATGCTGCTGGAGTGAGCAACCCAGGTAGAAAGCTACAACTGCCTTGTTCCGCCAACTTTACCCAGCATTCTATTTGGGTTGAGGGTGAGGAACAAAGTCCACAGTTTGAGGCAGGAGAACTACAGGTGATGGATCTTTTTGCCCCCAATCATGGGGTCAAGTGCTGACTTGGATCTTGTTCCTTGGCTTGACAGGCTAATGCATGAGCCACAATTTCCTATGAGTGCCTGAGGTTCAACCTCCTGATGGCTGCATGTTTTGTCTGCTGTCAACAGTGTGGGCAGACAGAAATCTGTGTAAATTTTCTAATGCTCCTTTGATGGGGCTTTTCACTTTGTGTCATGACAGATTATTTCATGTCAGAGCCTCACAATGAGTCAGGGCTCAATAAATGTATCTGAAATGTAGTTACAAACTGGGCTGGCAAAAATTAGAGGAAGCTGGGTCTTCTTGCTCTGCTCAAAAGGGGATATGTGATGGTGGTTATATGTGTAAAGTTGGGGATCTGGTGTGGGTTAGAATCCCTGCTGGGGGGTGGTAAGTGATCCCCACTTGTGATTTTAGCCGGTTACCTCATCCCTCTCTCTATTCATCCCTTTAGTTTCCTTCTTTGTAAATGGGGCTATCACATGGATAATTGTGAGCATTAAAATAATACACATAAAGAGAGCAGGAAAAGTCTAGCATACAGTAAGTGATGGATAGATGTCAGTTGCTATTGTCATGTGCCAGGCAACAGATAGTCATACTGTCCTTTTCACTGCCTTTACAGTTGATATCCAAACAGGATGGCAGCAGACCCAGCAATGGGCCCACATGCAGCAAAATACGGGTCCTCATGGTGACCTACATCAGGGACTCATTCCCCCCAGGACACAGCTTACTTAACACCAGTGGCTCACTATACGTCTTGCCAGTGTTGGAGACTGTGGTGGAGGGTGAACTGTTGATACACTGAGTATGTGTGGATTGTTACAGCTTTTGTATTTGCTATGAGGCCTAGTACACACACATAACCATGACAGAGCAGAGCTTTAGGCATTTCTATGGTGAGGCCATTCAGGCTTCCTGAATAAAAGATGCTCTACCAGAACTAAGTCTCATCTCTTCCACCCATAACCCCTTTCTAGTCGGCTCCTCTGAAGAGGGTTTTTAAGAAGACAGGTAACACATTAGAACCTTCCAGTCTTTAGGAGCAGAACCATCGTAAGGATATATTGTTTCCTCCTTGTGAGAGCACCACCCACTTATACTTTGTATCTCTCAGAACATGAGGATGAATGCTGTTCATTCTCTATGATTTACCACCCTTGGTGTCTCCTCAAGTTGTTCTGGAACCATCTATTTGGGAACTTCAGTCTGACAAGATTGAATTCTCATCTTCTACATGGCTTTGAAATTAAGTTTTTCTATCATCTCCTACAGTTCACTTCACCCCTCTACTCTTACGTTTAACTTGGCTGCCACTTCTCTAAATTTAATTGCTCTTATTTTGTGGTAGAGAAACTGCTAAGACACATACTCAGCATAATGTGTCTGTTTTTACATACATGATGGCATTTTTACCCCCTTTTAGTTCTGGAGAGGGATGGTGGCAATGGCTGCCCAATAATGTGAATGTACTTAAATGCCACCGAACAGTACCCTTAAAAAGTATTTAGGATGATAAAAAAAGGTGAATTCAACTAGATTATAACCCAAGAATACCTGAAGAAAACCTTTCCCCAAGGCCACAGTGGCCACTACCAGGGGCTCCATTCACAGCAGTTGACAGTGCCATGTGCAACACTGTAACCAACACAAACAGTATTGAACCCTTTACCATGTTACAAATGGACATTTGTCCAACATAACCTGAGAGGTCTGAACTTGTTCACAATGCTGTTTCAAAGTCTAGTTTAAAATAGGCTTATCTAAGGTTGTCAAAATAGTGAGCTGTCTCACCTTCCATTAATCTCTTACCTGCTCTTCCATCTCTAACTAGCCCAGTTTTGCCCATTTTTCAAGATCCAACTTAAATGATCTCTTATCAATGAGGTCTTCTAATTTATCCAGTATTTGTTTGGAGCATCTGCTTTGTGCTAAACACTGTGCTAAGTGTTGGGAATACAGGGGTAAGTAAATCAGATACAAAGTCCTTGAGTTCATGGCACCTATAGGCAATGGAAAAGACATTAAACAGTAATTTCACAAATAATGATTTGGATATAATTTTGGTAAGTGCTATGCTGGAAAGGACAAGAGAGTTATTAGAGTGCATGGCATAGGATTCACTCTGAGGGGCCAGGAAGTGAGTCCCTAATAAAGGGACAATCAAGCTGAGAGTGTGAAAATTGGAAGTAAAGAGGACAGAGTTCCTAAATCCCAGGTCTATGAAATAACACCTGTTCAGTCCATGAGAAAGAAGGATCTAGCAAGTTCAGGAAACCAAATGCAGACTCATAGGGGATGGGGAGGAGTGGCTGGAATAAAGACCAGACAGGAAGGAAGAGCCAGGTCATGTAGGACATTTATACTGAGCTCAACAGGAAGCCAAAGATTATATGTACATGCACACACACACACACACACACACACACACACACACATATGTGTGTGTGTGTGTGTATATATATATACATATATATATATATTTCCTTTTTTAAAGGTACTTACAATCGTGTCTAGCTTACTGATTTTGATAGGATCTTGCTAACTTTTTGTATGGGCTGGCCTCGACCGGTGATCCTCCTAATCTCTGCCTCCTAAGTAGCTGGGATTACAGATGTGAGATGCCGTGCCAGTCCGTGAATTTAAATTTAAATAGTTACATGGACTAGTAGCTATTACATTGGAGATTTAGCATGACAAACTTAATATAAAATATCTAATTTATAATTTTTATATTGATTACATATTGAAATGCTAGTGTGTAAGATATATTGGGTTAAATAAGATATCAATATTAATTTCACTTATTTCTTTGGGTTATTTAGTGTGGTTATCAGAAACATTTAAAATTATATATGTGGCTCATATTTGTGGTTCACACTGTATTTCTCTTAAATCATGCTCCTAGGAGATACATAAAACAAGAAAGACAAAAATGAAAAATGTTACTCTAAGTGTCTTTTGACAGTCACTGCTCCAATGGAAGAGGCCATCTGTGCTCAGGACAAGTTACACTGGGGCTTTCTGGGAGTTCTGGCCACTTCTAGCTGCTGTAGCTTAGTTGTTGGTTTTATGAGTGTTTGCTTTATAACAATCTGCTAAAGAGTCCACCTTGAAACATTGTGTCACACTAAGGGGAGGGCAGGACTGGGAGGCAGAGAGTAAAAGAAAGAAGCAAAAAAGGTGAATGTGGTTGATGTACTTTTTATATAAGAATGAACAGAGAATATTTAAAACTGTTGAAATCACCATAAGAAAGGGACGAAGGTGGAAAGCAGAAAAATGGAGGGAATGAGCCAGTTTGGGATATAATAAATACATACATGGAAGTGTTATAAAGAAACTACTTGTATAGCTACCTTAAACAAACAAAAATATCTTTTTTCAAAATCAAAGGATAGGAAGGTAAAACAGGTCCTTTCTGGGATTTGGTACTAATGTGTGTTGGGGTGAGGGATATAAGGAAAGGGTGAAGTAGAGTGGATATATGGAAATATATTCATGTATGAAAATGGAAAACAGAGCTGTTG